CATTTACTGTCTAAGGGACGTTTGTTCAGACTCTGGTTCCTGTTATTCTTCTACTTTCTGCCACTTCTCTGCAGAGTTCTTCGCTGACTGAGTGGCTTTAATGAAGTCAGCTTTCTGCTTCGTTGCTACACTTCCTGCATCTCTGTTTGCATTTGCATCCTTGACTCTGCAGCGGTTCCCTCTACTGTCCTCGTAGACGTTTGCTTATTTTTTTTCTACACATAAGGTTCAGCATGAAAATATCGTCAGTATAACATTTTGAAACCTGCAGAACAAGAAAATTGCTTTGCGTGCCGCAGGAGTGGCTCATCCAGCTTTAATCAACATGTTGGATTTCACTGGTCTGGCACATCTTGTTTTCTACAGAAATGAAAACCGAGAGTAAAGTTTGCAGGAACAGGTGAGACGAGCCTCGCAGAGCTGTGAGCAGAAACCCCTCTAACGGTTGCAGTAAAGTGTTTTAGTGGACTTTTAAACACGAAATAAACCAAACAAAACCATTTTCAACATCAACACAAGGTGTGTCCGTGTGAGGCGTGAGGAGGGTGAAACCTGCAGCTTTTTCTGTGCAAAATGAGAAAACGAGCAGGATGAGAAGGCAGCACCTTGTGATGCGGCGTGCTTCCAGATGGCTGGGAGAGTCTCTCCTCCTCTTCTTCATCGGCGAGTAGGATTTACGTCTCTGTCTCTTCCCTCTAGCCTTATGTCTGCGTTTTTTATCCGTTTGTCTGGAGCTCGGTGGCCTTTTTCTGTCTGGAAGTCTGAAGAAGCAGACATGACAGTGTGAAAAATGGATCAGCAACAGTGTCGGTGCAGCTTTGTTCTTGTTCGTCGCTAATGAACAGGAGTTAGCGGCTGCAAAGTCCACCTGTCACTGCTGCACCTGGAGTAGCTTCCTCTGGAGCTCAGGCTGACTAGGCTGCCTCTCCTCCTCAGACCCGAAGAGTTACTCAGAGAACGAGAGTATGAGCTGCAACACACCAGACGAGATGATGAGAGTGATGCATGCACTGAATTTATGCCAGGTGTTCGTGGATTTGCGTCATGTTTGCATTTTTAGTTCATGAACCTGCAAGAGTACAGCGAGGGGCTTCGAGAGTAGCGCCCAGAGTGTCTGAAACTCCCCGAGGACCTGCTCCTGCTGCTGCTGGACGAGTGGCTCTTCAGCCGTCTGCCAGACGACCGGCTCGTCCTCTTTGGGGATCTCACGACCTCCACCTGACATCCCAAGGTCATCTGCTCGCTGCTGAGGAAACACGTCAAGGTGTTTACTGCTTTGAGCGATACAACTACAGCTGCTGTCAGGTTGTTTTACCAAAACATTTTGATTTTTTCATTCTTTTCTTAGAAGACGAGTGCAAACGACAACGTCAGAGACTGGTTTTTACACTAAATCTACCTTTTGCTGTTTCCTCGGAGGACGGCTGCAGAGAAGCTGTCCTCCTCGTACGGTTTGCACGACGAAGCGTAGCTCGTCACAGAGTTCCCTGAATCTGAGCTGCTGTCTTTGTAGGAAAGTGTCTGCTTCACCGGCAGCGAGGCCCGACGCTGGCACAGGCCCCTCTTGTTCTCGGGGGCAGAAACGCCCGTTTTGCTGGATGGAGGTGAAGAAGTGTCATTCCCAGAGTCATAATCACGAGGACCTTCAACGTGGCCAGATAAATCCCGAGATCCACCCCCGTTCAAACGTTTGCTTCCAGGCTTTAAGGGCAAAATCTGCAAACAGACAAAAAACGAGCCACAGTTAAGAAAACCAGCCTGTGTGGAGCAGAACCTGCTGCAGTAAAAAGGAACAAAATCCCACTAAAAACAGCAAAGAGATTTATTCCTTCTCCTTTTCTTGGACAGAAAGCTTTGAAAGATAAAGACATCATGCAGATCTGAAGAAGCATGCGATTGACCTCCAAAGAGACGCCGAACTCAACTCAACTAATCAACGAGAAAAGAAGCGAGCCTAAACTAAAAAGGAGAGGAAGAACGAAAGAGCAGAGAGGAAAGAAAAATCTACGCGTGGAAAGATCTAGCAGCTCTAACTGGAGAGGAGAGAAGAAGAGGAAACACTAGCCGCCGTTTTGGAAAAGCCTGGTTTAAAGAACACAGAACAAACATCACAAGAATGTTTTATTAATGCAGAAATGAAAACGACTGCAGACGGAGAATCCCCACCAGTCTAACTAAGAACAGCCCTCGGAGCCGGACAGACTTTCCTGTAAGACTAAATATTCATCCTGCACCGACCCAAGAGCAAAGCCCTAAATCTGCAGATAGCAGCGACTTACCAATCAAGATTTCCTCCTTAAGTAGGTAAGGTGTAAAAAAAAAGGGAAGAGCGGGCAACATAAGTGCATCATTAGAGTCGTAAATTGCATGAAAAAGACAACAACTCTCTTTGAAACCCAGGTAGATGAAGCCAGCTGCATTGTTTTTGGTGTTTTTGGGAAGCACATCGACTGAATCGAACGCTGCCAAGTGGTGCAGCTGCTGAGTTTCAATCAGTTTTTTTAAATGCAAAATGTCCACAGATGGAAAAAGATAAAAATGAGAGTTAACTAAAGCTCATCCTCCGGAGGGTTTCTCATGACGGTGCTCTGCAAACACCACAGCAGAGCAGCCACCAGCGACAGTTAGATAAATCCAGCATCCCCCTCTTTTAAAAGTTCACACAATCTGGTCGCACTCGGGGCTAAAAGGTTTCACAGATTTCAAACGGAAATGTTCTTCCACCTCACACCAGGAGGTTTCCACGTGGCTGCTTCCAGCAAACATCTCATCTAGTGAGACATGCGGAGTGCCTCCTCTGGTGCTTCGCAGCTGCATCATCCATACCTACCTCCTCCTGCTTCATGTTCCCGTGAAGAAAACTCTAAGTTTGATTTATTCTGCATAAGTCTTCATCCTCCAGACGAAACACCGCGAGTAAATAAAAGCAAATGCTTTACGTGTTTCTGGTACAACACGACAAAAACTAACCTCTAAATAAAGGCAGCCATGTTTGAATGATTTCAATAATCCTTTACATTTCTAACAAAACCATGTAGTGTGTAATTAAAAGCATCCCTCTTTACAATTAGCATAATGAAATGATAGCTGGAGAGAAATTAAACATATTTCACGCCTCAGTGAGCAGGAGACAATGGGTCGGAGGACATATTGATGCGGTTCTGCCTGCAGTCAACAGAGCACGTTTCTACAATCTCATCAGTAGATCTCAGTTTAGTCTTTTCATTTTGTGAAGACGAACTAAAATAACGGGTTTGGAGTCGTATTTCAGGCGTCGCTTTAGTGTGAAGCCGAACTAAAACCTGCAGGCACACCTGAGAGGCTCAATGGCCAATTTAAAGGTTTAGAAAATTAAGTTTGCACAGACTTTCGAGACTGTTTTAAAGACCAAGTTCACTCACTCGCGCATCTGCAGCGGTCTCTAGTCGGAACGAACACATTGTGAGTCGATAAACATCCCTCACGGTCGTGTTTCAGGACATCGTTCAGAAAACTCGTTCTCACACCCAAAGTGTCGAAAAACGACGACGGGTGACCGATGCGTTGGGAGCCCCAGCGCATCTGGAGGCGGCGCGCTGGGCCAGAGCGTCGTTTTCCAACTGCCGCGGTAAAACGGAGATGTCAACGAATTGCGACCTTTACCCTCTTGCTATTTAACTTTCCCCTCACCCCCACCCTAACCCTCTTGTGAATTCAAAAGTTTGTTTCTAGTTGTAACGTCCCTCTCCAACACGGGTAACGGAAAGTTTAGAACGAGAAACTGGGTCAAGGTTAGGATGTGGGCGAGGGGAAGGTTAAATAGCAAGAGGTCAGAGGTTAAATGTGCGTTTTACTGCCGGCGTCGGGAACCAACACTCACAACGCGTCGCCTCCCAAAGCTGGAAACAAACGCTCGGTCACCCAGCGTCATTGTTCGACGCTTTGGGTGTGAGAATGTGCTGGTTCAGAGGTGAGCAGGAGACGGCGGGATTTGGAGTACCCAGACATCTCTCCTCTGATTGGCTAACAGCAACACCACCCTACCACTGACTCTGTTTGCTCTGCGACGTTGTTTTACGTCTACAAATAACACAAGCTTGAAGGAGTTCTGCCGTGTGGTGGACTTGCTCATGCTAACAGTTAGCATCTACTAGCTGAGACGTGATCTGCTGTCTCCTCGAGGCTGAATAAACAGCAACCTTCTCCGTGGCGAGCCAAGATTGGTGAGGCCATGAATTTCACATTAGCATGCGCTAATGTCACCTTCAATCAGCGGCTAACACAGAAAATAGCGGCAGTAGATTATTTTCATGTTCAGCCCGCATGTTAAACTCAGAGGAACCAATCATTTAAAATAAATAACAAGTAACAATGGTTTCTCTGTGAACTTGGCCTTTGATATACTTGCTGCACTTGCACTAGCCGTTATCTTGTCATTCATGCAGAATGTTAACTCTTTTTATGCAAACAGAAGAAGCTACGTGCAAAGGGCAACATCTTTTACACAGAGACACATTAAAATGGCTTAAAAGTATCTTTAAAGAGCAAGTCACCCCCTACCAGAGTACTACTCCACTCTCACTTCCTGTTTGAAAAATGCAACAAATGCTGTTGCCTAGCAGACCCAGAGGGCGGAGCCGCTAACAAATACACACACACAGGCTCACAATGACATTGTGACATCATACGGTACCAGCTATCATTCTAGGGTGCCTCTTAGCCAATAGCGATGGCAGATTTAAATTCAAATGCAGTGCAGAGTTTTTACCTGACAACGGCACAACATTAACTAAAATGCACTAAAGTGCAAAACTATTGACTACAGGTGTCTGCAGCACGATTAGACACACATTTATGTAGTTTATCAGCATAAAAGCTGATTCGGGGGTGACTTGCTCTTTAAACACCTCGGTTTTATCTGAATGGTAGAAAAAAATCACACAAATGTGAGTCGACTGTGTGTGTTTGGTAACACGTTTGTTGCAAAAACATACGATTGTGCAGAACAGAAATACAGTTCAAAAGTGTAGTGATGTCATACATATCACAAATACTTACTATAAGAGCATAAATCTATGAATTGCATTAAATAAATAAATCAGAATTATAATAAAGGCTTAGTGAGGAAAAGCTTTCAGTCTTAAAGAGCTTATAAATTCAGATTATGGTTAGGAAATGCATCTGTTTGCTGATGTAGCCGACGCCTCTGGTGCTCGCAGGCTGCAGCGACGGCGCTTAGATGCTGCTGGCAGGTTGTGATTTAGGACAGCAGTAAAACTAAAACAACACGATCGTCCTCTGCAGCTCTTCGGGTGTCACAGGCAGGCTAAAAAGCTTTTCTAAATAAAACAAACACCTTTGCCGATGATTTGGGTGATTCGCTGGAATCCAGCCTGGTTGCACAGAATGAGGAGGTAAATCTAGTTTATAAAGATGCACAGGTTTATGCTGAGATGCACTTTTGATTTTAACATAAGTACATTTTATGCTGATGTGTTTTTACCCTACCATGCAGACATGTTTGTTATTTAAAACAAACAAAACCTTTAAAATTTGAGTTCAGATTAAAATAATGTGTGTTTTTAACACACCAACGTCTTAGAGGACACCTGCTCCTTTCAGCTGCGAGAATATGAACAAACGTAAAAATACATATTCATCATTTCTCAATATAGTCAGTTATTAAAGGAATATTCCCCCCAATAAAGGAAATATGGTCTGTTGCCATAGTTACCAGAGTTAGACAAGTGGGAAAAGCCTTTGGCAACCAGCCGAGTCATTCTCCTAACCTGGCAGTATTCCGTTAGCTTTAGCTTAGCATAAACAACGCTAGTGAATGGTAACAGCTAGCATTTCAGTGATTCCACTTGAAAAAGACATCTGCTTCCGTAAACACAAACGCGTGGCTGCCAGGCTTATCTGGAACAGTTCTTTTAGATGGAACAGCATAGAAAGTTAATCTGAAAATGGCAGAGTACATGGCCCAGTACTCAAGTATGCCAGTATGTTCTTGTGTACTTGACAAGTATGTTCTTGCCAAGTACAACAAAAAGTTAATTCTAGGGAGGGCGAGGGCGGCATTTGGAACAGAACCATATTCTGGTATGTCATGGCAAAAAGCGCTGTTTTGTACAACAGTTAAAAAACTGACCTGAAATACAAAATAAGAGTCTAATTATTCCTTTAAATAACAACTAAAACATTATAGTTGGATAATATTTGGTCTACATTTTTATCTAAACTGATAAAATACCATCAGATCCTGATAGTAAATGAGCAGAAAACATTTATTTTTCATCAAAACAGAGCTGTTTAAGGCAACACTGCTTTTATTTTGATAGGGAGTTAGTCAATTAGCATTTTAAAGAGCAAGTCACCCCCTACCAGAGTATTACTCCACCCCCACTGAAGCTTGGTTTATGCTTGACACGTCCGCGAGGTCCGCACGGCTCCGCGCGGCAAAATTGCATCATTTTAACAACCACGCCCCTCCACCGCATCTCCGCACGGCCCAAACTTTCCGCACCGCGCACCTAGGAAATTTTCTAACCACGCGGACGGTCGCACGAGGAAAAACATGGCGGACCAGCAAGAACTAGTATGGCAGAGGTTCGTAAATACAGACATTTGTATGATTCAGCTCTCAGAGATCACCGCGATCAACATGTTGTTAATAATTCTTGGAGAGAAATAGCTCGCACTGTCGGAAAAGACGAGGACGCTGTTAAAAATGCTGGAATGCCATGTTGTAAACAGTAATTTCTACTTCTACTATGGTGTAGTGTTGGATGCATGCCATAGAGCTCCATGCTGCCCCCTACAGTTTGGGAGAATATTGGCTCACCGCAGAGACGAGCCGCACGAACCATAAATGCTGCGAGTTGTGAAGCGCGTTCCATCCGCGAGCCGCATCACCAAGCGGAAAGTAAATGCGTCAAGCATAAACCAAGCTTTACTGTTTGAAAAATGCAACAAATGCTGTTGCCTAGCAGACCGAGAGGGCGGAGCCTCAAACAAATACACATCAAATGCCAATTGAGCAGGTTAGAGAAGTTAGGTTACTGGGTTTAACAATCGATGAAACGCTAAGTTGGAGTGGTCAAGTGAAACAGATTTTAATTAAAATGGGAAAGAACATGGCAATGGTGAGGAATGGTAGAAAATGTATTCCATTTTTAAGTAGAAAAGTATTAGTTGAAGCTACTGTTTTGTGTCACTTGGACTATTGTGCAGTAATTTGGGCTGCTACTACGGAAGCTAATTAAAATAAGTTACAGGTCGCACAAAATAAGGCTGCTAGATTAGTCTTAAATTGTTCTTTTAGAAGGAGTTGTGAGGACATGCATACTGCTCTAGCATGGATGGGTGTAAGGCAGGGGCGGCGTTAGGCCCGGCTACTTGGGCTCAAGCCCCGAATCTTTAATGAAAAGCCCCGGATCTAAAACGTGGAAGTAACATGCAGTACCAAAGTCTAACAGAGAGGGAGCAGCTGGCAGTAGTTTGTATACAGCCTGCCTGAGCCTCCACCACTGAAGAAGAAGCCCTTCAGCAGCCGGCTTCTTCTACACTCTCTGCCTGAAACGCATGAGTGAAGATGGACATAAGGACGTTTTTAGACCAAAAGTACGGCGACAGAACCCCAGCTTTGATGAGACTGGTGCTGACTCAGGTTTGTGAGTCTTATTAGAAAATCTTTGTTGTGCTGCTGGTTTGCCTAAAGTTAGCTTATCAGGTAAAGTTGTTGAAGAAAGAAAGGGAATATTTACTATCATCTCACACTAAACACTAACAGGAACAGTCCTCTGCCCTGAAAATGCTGAATATGTAGCTTCAGATTAAAAATTATGTGGTACAAGACATGTATATATGATGTTGACTAGTGCGTGTCACGTGTGTGTGTGCGTGCGTGCGTGCGTGTGTTAAGCCCCGGATCTTCTTCAGTCCTTAATCCGCCCCTGGTGTAAGGCCTAGAATAAAGTACTTACTTGTAAAATTTATTAGGAATGTTATAAATACACAGACATCAGTTGACATTTTTTAGAGATGTTCACCAACATGCTACGCGTCAAGCTGATGGCTGCTTTTTGTTGCCAGTTAGTCAAACTAATTTTCTACATAGGTCAGTATTGTACAGAGCTAAGGTGGAATGGAATAGCTTACCACAATTCTTGAGGGGTCAGCTACAAAGGAGTGATTTTTGTTGGAGGCTGCGGATATTTATATACCCTTTTTACACGAGTTTGAGGAAGATGAGTTTTATGTTTTATTAATTTTATGTTTGGTTGTCCAGTATGTGTGGAGTAATTTGCATTTTATGTTACGGGAAATGTGTGTTATTTTGGTGCTGTATTGGGTGGAATGTGGTGTGCGCTTATAGTGGAGATTTATATTGTATGGTGAAATGGATTGTTTGTTTGTGAGCCCAGTGTTGATGCATGCATAATGCCATTTTTTTTTTTTTTGGATGATGATATGACCCCAGGAAGAATAGCAACTGTTTTAACAGTGGCTAATGGGGATCTTAATAAACAAACAAGCAAACAAACACACACACAGGCTCACAACGACATTGTGACATCATATGGTACCAGCTAACATTCTAGGGTACCTCTTAGCGAATAGCGATGGCAGATTTAAATTCAAATGCAGTGCAGAGGTTTTACCTGACAACGGCACAACACTGACAGTTTTAGGAAGAATATTTAAATTCGAACTAAAATGCACTAAAGTGCTGTAGTGAAATAGAGTGATGTAACGATCTAGAGTTGTATTTTAATATACTGTAAGTAGATCTAGTTTTTATAATCAGAAGAATAGGTTGTTTCTATCATCAGGGAGTTCATTTAACACTCTGTATTGACCTTGAGACAAGAAAAGAGAGAGTTGGGATCGTTTAAGAATTTTATTATAAATTCTACAATCTATCAGGACTAACTCTGTGTTGTTTGGAAATGAATGTGATGTTCGATGTGTGTGTGTGTGTGTGTGTGTGTGGTTGGTTCAGACTCCTTAGGCTGACATCATTGAATCTGGTAGTCTTTGATTGTTATGACTAGATATCACGAGGCTTATAAAGTGATGACATGAGCTGCTATTTTGCCGTGTACGTACCCAGTGGGGGCCTCCCAGGTAGATCAGGAAATGCCAGGTCTGAAGACCTCGGATGTGCGCTGGAGCTGGTCGAAACAGCGATCGCAGCGTTTCAAAGCCCGTCTGAAGGGTCGACCCAGGTAACAATCGGCAGCGTCAGCAGGTGCTCTTGTTTTGAAAGGATGTCATCTGGTTGTTAAACGACGAAAATCTCCAACTTCACAGTTCTTAGTTTAAAGAAGAAAACACATCTGGCCAGTCTGTGCTTTTCTTTAGGATGACGGTGAATAGAACTGAAGTCAAAATGGAACTGAGCTTAAAATGGCGTTGCCTTGTTTTATATCTCTGAATTGTTGATAAGTTTTAGTAAAGCGGATTGGACACTTTAAGTCAACAAGCCAGATTCTCTTGCGGCAGCCGAAAGCTCTGATTGGTTGGAACAATGTGTCATGCGTTTCTATGGAGATGAGGGTCAGTCTGTCTGTGCAGTAGTCCTGTTTTCATTAAACACATAAATCATGACATCTTTATTCCACAGATCATTCACTTGATTATTATTGATCAACATCTGTTTCGACTAGCTTTAATCACAAATTAAGTACTTTGATTATTGAAAAGCGTTCTTCTTCTCCTTCTGGCTCTTCTCCTGGAATGTAAACAGTCTGAGGAACACCCGACCTTGGCGTTTTCTACACGGGTGTTACTGTGTACAGGGGCAGCTGTGTGGAGCTGAAATTTCTGAAGTTCATAACGTTACAGTGCTAAACTATTGACGACACGTGTCTGCAGCACGATTAGACACACATTTATATAGTTTATCAAGAAAAAAAGTTAATTTGGGGGTGACTTGCTCTTTAAATAACAAATAACAATCAATACATTATAGTTTTATAATATTTGGTCTACATTTTTATCTAAACTGATAAAATACCATCAGATCCTGCTGGTAAATGAGCAGAAAACATTTATTTTTCATCTAAACAAAGCTATTTAAGGCAACATTGCTTTTATTTTGATAGGGAGTTTGCCAATCAGCATTTTGAAGTATCATGAAGAGTCATAAAAATAAATACCGACATGCACATTTTACAGGTTACACACAATTAAGTACAATAGCATACATCTTTACAGTGTGTCTATTTATTTATTTAGACTTATTTGTATTTTGACATAAACACACTACAGTTATGAGCTCTCTCTTCTGCAATTTTCCATTTGGGGTATAACGGTTTGGGAGGCAATGCACCATGGGATATTGTGCCGGTTCAAGTCCGCGGCAGGATGCATTGATGGATCCTCAACACAATGGGCAAGGCATGAACACCTCTGGGAACTCACCATGATGCGTTCAGGATCAGAACATTTGGGCCGATGCTGATGATGTTTAACAAGGTCACGAGTACACAAGTTCAGACGAGTACGTGTGACCACATTAAGCAGCCTAGGTGTCTTTTAGGGCCTTGCCGTGGTGGCTTACAGCAATGCTTTGTCGTAATCTAGAGTATAAATCAGCTCTAATTCCTTGATGCTAATTTTTTCATTTGCAGTCGATGTGATTGTTGAGGTCGCCAAGAAACATTTGAATCATTAAAGAGCAAGTCACCCCCAAATAAACTTTTTTTTGCTGATAAACCAAATAAAAGAGTGTCTAATCGTGCTGCAGACACGTGTCGTCAATAATTTGCCACTTCAGTGCATTTTAGTTAAAATTTAAATATTCTGCCTAAAACTGGCAGTGTTGTGCCATTGTCAGGTAAAAACTATGCACTGTATTCTAATTTAAATCTGCCACCGCTATTGGCTAAGAGGTATGCTATGATGTAAACTGGTACATTATGATGTCACAATGCTGTCGTGAGGCTGTGTGTGTGTATTTGTTAGCAGCTCCGCCCTCTCGGTCTGCTAGGCAACAGCATGTGTTGCATTTTTCAAACAGGAAGTGGGAGTGGAGTAATACTCTGGTAGGGGGTGACTTGCTCTTTAATGACTAATCTTCAGGACTTTTTCCACTCAACATGCTAGCTGTTGCTATTCACTTACATTGTTTATGCTAAGCTAAAGGTAACGGATTACTGCCGGATTAGGAGAATGACTGGGATGGTTACGAAATGGGTTTTCTCACTTCTCTCTGTGAAACATGGCCACGTACTAGATTTCACCGAGGGGTGGAATATCCCTTTAGGAGAGATCAAAGTGAACCAGCAGCAGCGCGATTGAAGTCACAAAGAGAACTTACGGTGCCGGTTGAGAGGATGGAGCGATATTTCGGAGCCGTTTTACACACAGATTTGGTCGTTCGTCTCCAGTTTGTGTCCTCGTAGTGCAGCGCTGCTCCGGTTTCCTCTTCGACAGCTCTCAGCTCTCCTAAAGCCTGATGAGCTTCAGACCTTTGCAGATGGTGTCTGTGGGGAAACCCTTATTTTAGCCACTATTGTGTCAGCACTGACGCCATTTAGTCAGACGTTGTGATACGTTTTTACAGTTTACCCTCGTTTGATTGCTTTATCCAAGGTTTTCTCCCATTTCTCACATGGAAACCTAAGTGAGAAAAGTTTCTGATGGGTTTTAGATGCCTGGCATGACTCTCTCACTAATTTGTATATAAAAAGTGGTGTAAATATCTTCTACATGTTCAAAATCCCAAGAAAACTGGAGCAAGGCCTCATACAAAGAAAACCAGCTCTCAGATGCACCTTGAGATGTTTTGGAGACTCCCTTGCAGATGTCTTTCCGGTTGTTACAGTAACTTCAGCCATGATAAAAAAAATTAATCGTCACATTTATTCATTTGTTCCCTCAGATATTTTGGCGTAATCCAGGACAAACTGTTGAAACTTGTCACATGTCATCACACTCCAAAGACTTTGTTTGATGCCGTTAGAACTGGGAGCATTGATCAGCGGCGTGAAATTGTGTCCGTCTCCTGTGAGGCAGCGATAAGAGGCGGTTGTGCTGGAGGTCGAGGAAGTCACCTCTGTCTTATCTGTTATGGCTGCAGCGCGACTGAGAAGTCGTCACACACCTCATGCTGATAAGATAAAGCGAGGGGGCAGGTGGCGGACGGAGGAGGCATCTTACCTGTCCTCTGTGAAGGATCTGCAGGAGCAACAGTGTGACTCCGACCTCCGATGCTGCTGTCTGTGTCGAGAGCGGGTCCGGGAGCTGGAGGAGAGCAGAGGAGAAGGAGGTAAGGACACAGGTGGAGAATGGCGCCGAGAGCTGTGCGATTAGTTAAGTGGAAGAAGTTCAACAGATTTAGCTTTGGGGGTTCAGTATTTAACTTCCTGTTTGTTTAATCTGATTTTACTCAACAGAAAAAATGTGTGTAAGTTCTTAAGGGTGGCTTATTTCATCTTTGACTAAAACAAATGGCCTGCTGTTGCACAGCTCTGATGAGGTAATACCCTGATCTAACCCGAACCAAACTAAAACTCACAAAACCAACATTCACTTCTCAAAATCCACTTAAAGGTGTGGATCACTGGTTTAATCAGTACTTTTGCAGAGGTCTCTAGTAGGAATGAATGCCTTGTAAGTCGTACTTGGGGGGTAAAAAGCCCAGGTGTGCCTGTTTCAGCATGGAGAGTTCAGCTGGAGGAGAAAGTAGCTGCAGACGACAGGATTTAGGGTCTTATTTCCTGATATTTGGACATCTTGTCTCTGATTGGCTAACAGCAACACGACTCTGCAACGTTGATGTTTTATCTCCACAAATAACACAAGCCTGGAGAAGTCCTGCAGTGTGGTGGAGTTGCTAATGCTAACAGTTAGCTTCTACGGTTAGCTTCAACACCAACGACAGCCTTCCCCGTCGTGAGTCAAGATGGGCGAGTCCATGAATGTTAAGTGACAGTGTGACGTAGATCTGTCAGGCTTTTCTGATCCTAGAGTTTCACCGTCTGTTTTCTATCAGACATGAATGCAGGACATAGGTGTAGGAGATTATTTTCATGCTCAGGCTGCATGAAACACTCAGAGTGACCCGTTAGAATCAGAACTAATCATTTAAAATGTTATTCAGTGTCCCACATCTTTAAAGAGCAAGTCACCACCAAATCAACTTTTTTTCTGATAAACTATATAAACGCGTGTCTAATCCTGCTGCAGACACGTGTCGTCAATAGTTTTGCACTTTAGTGGATTTTAGTTAAACTTTATATTTTCTGTCTAAAACTGTCAGTGTTGTGCCGTTGTCAGGTAAAAACTCTGCACTGCATTTGAATTTAAATCTGCCATCGCTATTGGCTAAGAGGTACCCTAGAACGTTAGCTGGTACCATATGATGTCACAATGTCGTTGTGAGCCTGTGTATGTGCATTTGTTAGCGGCTCCACCCTCTCGGTCTGCTAGGCAACAACACTTGTTGCATTTTTCAAACAGTAAGTGGGAGTGGAGTAATACTCTGGTAGGGGGTGACTTGCTCTTTAAGCACATTCATTTACCATTTTGAGTCAGTTAAAGATGGCTACCACAACATGCTTATCAAACCCCAAAAATGGCTGTATATCAGTTTATTTGACAGATATTGCCGTAATTTTTGGTGGTTGAAAAGTTAAAAGTCTTTCTGAACACACACTAGCACAAACACACATTTGGAGAAACCTCGAAACGTTGCTATTTAAGCCAATCACATTCCTGGACGCCTCCCTGGGGAGGTGTTTCGGGCATGTCCTGCCGGCAGGAGGCCCCCGGGTCGACCCAGGACACGTTGGAGAGGTTACATCTCCAATCTGGTCCGGGAACGCCTTGGGGTCCTGCCGGAGAAGCTGGTGGAGGTGGCCGGGGAGAGGACGGTCTGGAGCTCCCTAGTTGGGATGCTGCCCCCGCGACCCGGACCCGGATAAGCGGAGGAAGACGACAACGACATTTCTTTGTTGTCAAAACATCTGAGACTCTCAGGAAGCAGCCGTTAGGTGCGCGTCCCCAACTATCTTATTAGCATGTCGATCCAAGTAAAGATGGCAACCATGAAAGAGCCAAAACGCCATCGCTTTTATGGAAATTAGGCCAGAATTTGTAAGAGTCATTCTCACCTCAGAGCATGTTAGCAAAATCTATCACGAACCACTGGATGAGAGTGATTACAGCTGCACAATGATTGGACCAGGTCAGCTGTCAATCAAAGGTGAAGCAAAGAGGAAGATGCTAATGGAAGTAACGAAAACCCTAAAAAAGAGACACATCTGAGGGAAAGTTTCAGTGTTTTCAACAACATTTTATGTTGGATTGTCAACATATTATTGTGAATAATTCTAATTTTAATTCCTTCATCAAAAAACTGCAAAAAAAAAGAGCAGAAAAACGCCTTTATAATTAAATGCATTTAAACTCAGCTGCCCAGTGGTCAGTGCTGTTGCCTTGCAGGAGGTCCTGGGTTCACAACCTGGCCTGGGGTCTCCCTGCATGGAGTTCTCCTTGTGCACGTGGGGGTTCTCTTCCTCCCACAGTCCACAAACATGACCGTCAGGTTGATTGGTTTCTCTAAGTTGTTCTTAGGTGAAAGTGTGTGGGCGTGGTTATTTTGTCCTGTCCTGCGTGTCGCTGCTGGAGATAGGCACCGGCCCCCCCATGACCCTGCGTGGGTTCGCGGGTAAAATGGATGGATGGATATTTAAACTCTGTTTCTTCTGCAGCAGTGAGTGAACTCCAGAAGGATGGATGGGTTTGAATCTGGAAAATCACGTAAGGAGGGACAAACGTGCGCGGTTCCGATGCACCGATCACAGACTGACCTTTTCTTGTGTCGGCGTTCATCTCTCCTCTTACGTTTTAGACTGGCAGAGCTGCAGGGGTGAAAGAGAGCAGAATGATGAGCCGGAGGTGTCCGTTACTGACAAAAGCCTGCATGCTGCCTGCCTTCACGCTGATAGACAAAGACTCAGCTGCTAAGGGAACAATCCGGTAATCCTACTGTAAGAAGAGACGAAGTGTCCCTACACATTTACAAAAGGCAAGAAAAACCACGTTTAACCTAAAAGTGAGCACCAGTCTGGAATTATGAAAACAGCGTACCTGCGTTTCGACTTCTTGGAGGTGTACCTGGAATATGAAACAAGAAGAATGAACATTTATTTAAATGGGAACAACATTTTTCCAGAACTGTGATCAGAAATGGAGAAATACCTGTGCCTCCTGCTTTTCTTTGAGCTCTTCTTCTTCTTCTTTTTCTTCTTTCTTGCAGGGGACAGGCTGGGAGAAGGAGACCTAAAACACACACACACACACACACACACACACACACACACACACACACACACGCACACACGCACGCACACACACACGCACGCACACACACACACACACACGCACGCACGCACACACGCACACACACATTAATGTTATAGTTAAGGAAAATCCAACTATAACGCACTTGTTTCCAGTTTAAGAGATTATTTCAAGATGCATTGAAATTTCCATCAATTAAATCCAGTTATGCAGTGGCACCTCCAAGGGGTGGCCGGGGGTGGGGGATCGGGGGGCAAGGCCACCCCATTATCTTCCCAGTAAAGATTTCCCCCTGTCCCCATTAATAAACCACATAAACATTCACACAAACCATGTGTTCATCTTCTTTAATTGAGACCCAAATAAAGCCATATATTTACATTATTAACTCATTCACTGCCAGCGTTTCTCACCATTTTTACTGTTTTTTTAAGAGTCACAGAACGTTGCGCGCTAGGATGATGTCGACGCCTAAACAACCAAAACAAAGCGGAGACTCACCTCTTACATCAAGAAGAATCTGCGCATTTCGAGCGTTATCCGTTCTTTTGTAATCCGTTGTTGAATTGTGATCGGCAGAAGCTTTTCCGATTCGCGTCTCACTTGTTTTTACAGCAGCGGCCCAAAACGATCTCCTAACACATGGATGTTCTGCTTCCTGATCACGTGGCGTGTGAGGTATGTGGATGAAGATCGGCTTTAGAGCTGAGATGTTTGTCTCACGGTGCGGGGGCTCGTCCGACGCCCACACGGTAAAAAAATGCAAATGACGACTTTAGTCGTCATTGGCAGTGAATGAGTTAAAATAAATACCTATGAAATTTTTCATAATGTAAATAATTAATAATAATTATTTTATTTTATATATAAATATATAAAAACTCCTCCAGAGGGAGCTATTTGGTGTGCCACGCTAATATCTTCCCTGGACCCCCTATGAAAAATTTCTAGGTGCGTCCCTGAAATGAGGTACATTCAAGTTTGCCTTTTGGCAGTCGGTCCGACGCCCTCACATGCTTTTGAGATTTGTAAAACAGAAGAAAAGGCCTTCACCTTTTTCTTCTCCTCTTCCTCTCAGACTTTCTCTTCTTCTTCCTTCCCTTTGGTCGAGGGGAGAAAGCCTCATCAAAGGAGTGGCTGTAAGCAGAGACAGAGAACATGTGATGCGATGGAAACAACAGTAGCTGCTCAGGTTTCAGGATCTGGTCAGGGCTGATGGAGGCTGTGATGTTCCTCAGCTTTCCACCGGAGCCCACTTAGCCCCATGCTCCAGAGACTGCTGCCATAATAAATGGCTCTGCTTGATGTTGGTGGCAGTTTGGGGGTATTAGGAACTGAAACACATTAGAGCTGATTAGTCCGAGTCCCCTCGCTTGATAATGAGAGCGCTTTGTCACTCATTAACACCTCTAACCGTCTGGCCTTCCAGCTAGAGAGCATTTACAGTTCTTCTTGCCAGCAGAAATGGTTTCTTTCGATGAGCCGAGAGCAAAAAAAGGCAAGTGAAAGATTTTGCTGTCTACTTTGGGAATTGTAATTAAGGGACACATCTGGGAATAAGAACCAAACTTGTGGACGTTTCACACAGATGTGTCTAATGAACCTCAGGAAAAGTTTTCAGGTAAGCAAAACAAATCAACACAAATTAGGATCAATAGTTCAAATCAGTGGGCATTTTTTATTCTGATTAAACAAATACTCACTGAGACTCACTCATTAAGGCCGACGTGCTGTTTTTAGAGGGAATCCAGAGTCGGAAGCTCCTACTTTCATTTTGTAACTGTTGTTTGGTTTTTCTGCTGAGCTGCTGCTGTGGTCCAATTAGCAGCAAAAAAAGAACAAGTGTCTGTTTCAACAGAGGGAACGTCTCTCAGGCAGCACTTTTGTTATTTAGACAGCATATTTAGAAATCCACGCAGCTAAATAGCCACCTAAGAGGCAGAAATGAATAAACACAAACGCCTTTTCATGCACTGCTGGTAGAAACGGCAGGGCAACGCGTGATTTGTCCACATAACACAGTCGTCATGTATGTAAAGACCGAGTCTCTGCAGGTAAAGGGTTTGCAGGAAGCTGTATTCACGTTATATGTTACCATCGACATATATAAATATATATGTGGACAATGGGTTTCCATAGGCTCCAATAACACGTTTTTGAGGAAAAATGGGAGGTGGCCACCACCGCCATTTTGACCGTGTCACAGGTTCCGTCAAGCCCAGACAATTCCACAAAAGGGAAGAGAGGTGGAGCTGAGGGTGGGGCTGTAAGGCTGGGATCAACTGACGACACCCGGTCAAACTAGCTACAAGCTAACCCTGGATAACCCAAAGTAAGTAAGTAAAGTTTATTTATATAGCGCCTTTCACAGATATAAATCACAAAGCGCGGTACAACATGAGTAAAATCAGGGCAAATACCTCAAACCAATAAAAACATCATAAAAACAATAGCAGTGATAACAATAGTAACCAAAATCAGGAGTAAAAACAAAGTCAAGGTGTGAACAAGAACAAAGCCATCTTTTAGAATATTTAGCGAGGGAAAGCCTGGATGAAAAGGTCAGTTTTAAGATGTTTTTTGAAGACTTCTACAGATTTCAAGAGACAGAGATTTGAAGGCAGACTGTTCCAAAGTCTGGGGGCAATAGACTGAAAGGCCCTGTCCCCTTTGGTTTTTAGTCTGGTTCGAGGAACAGCCAGGAGGCGGGAGGTGGGAACACAGAGGTGGGAGCTAAGCTAATGTAGGTAGCCACCTAGCTACAACCGGAGTTAACTCTGAGGAACACCAGCGACCTGAAGCTCACACGGAGTTTGGGTGGAGGTTTGTGGCGTTTTTTCATGAAAACTATCTTTCTGTGAATATTTGAGCAAGTTTTCAATATTTTTAACGTACTGTATTTTCCGAACTATAAGTCACTCCGGAGTATAAGTCGCACCAGCCATTAAATGTATAATGAAGAAGAAAAAAAACATATATAAGTTGCATTTTGGGGGGAAATTTTATTATTTTTCTTACAAAATCTGAGACCTAGCATTTCACATTGCACGAAAAGTACCGGTAACAATAACAGAATAAACAATCAGGACGCAGCAGCGCGCCACGATCTCCAGTAGAGGATGACGGTGTTTGAAACCCTCCCAGCGGGGCAGGGGAGCTCATTCCTGGTCCAGAGCTGACCCGTAGCAGCAGTGCGGTGTAGCCTACATAATTTGGTATATAAGTCGCTCGGAGTATAAGTCGCAGGACCGGCCAAACTATGAAAAAAAGTGCAACTTACAGTATAGTCCGGAAAATACGGTAGTTATTAGTATTTGAGATAGATTAGCAGGCAAAATACATTTCATATATTTGCAAAACGTAATACTTGTTTGTATCTTGTACAGCCAACTAGCCTTTATTCTGGACTCAATTCACCAAAAGTAAAGGGACATTATGCAAATGAAGTAAGCACAAGATAACTTACTGGAAGAAACAGAGTTATTATCATCAGAACCAGAACAAGACAGCCTGATAACAGTCATGTGAAAATAACAGTTAAAAAGTATGTATGTGTAATAGAAATAAAAATATATTAGAATTAGTGTAACTCACCGTGATCCAAACAAATCAGCCATAGCTGATTAGTAAATATGACATGAGGTCTGGGAGTTTTTAAGTTTCATTCTTTTATTACATTTTTTCTGAGATCTGTTAAAAGGTCACCATGGCAGCCTGTGTGTCTTCAGCGTCGGCTACACAACGCAGCGTGTACGTTCCAAATACCTGTCTTGACCACTTCATGTATGATTTTGTACTTTAACAGCTAGGCCAAACCTGTTATTTTTTCTCCATAGCCATTTGGATCATTGGAGACAGCTACGTGAGGCGTGGTGCCCAGAGAGCTGCAGAGACCCTCGGAGACAACCTTGGCCTCCCTGACGTCCGTGTCTCCTGGTTCGGTTGGGGCGGACTGAGGTGGAAAGACCTTCTCCCCTTCTTTTTCAACTCCCTGCGAGGAAGAGCAGCTCCTGATTTCCTTCTCATCCACTGTGGCGGCAATGACATGGGGGTGGTCTGCAGTGTGAAGCTGGTCATCATGATGGAGGACCTGCACTGACTTCACCTTCTACACCCTCATGATGATCATCATATCATCTATCACCCAAAGGTGTAGCTGGAGGGCAGGTCTAAAACCTGCTAAAATTGAGAAGGCCAGGAGGTTTGTCAGCAGTGTTATGGCTACACTTATTTCTAGCTTAAATGGTGCCGTTGTTGTGCATCCTCACATCAGGCATGACAGTCCAGGGACATTTTTGTCAGACAAAGTTCATTTCACAAATAGGGGAAATGATATATTTTTAACCAATATTGTTGATTGTCTTAAAGGGACATTATGGAAGTGTGACAGCCAAAACATGTATAGAAATAATAAATGTCTTCTTCATACATTCTCCTGCAATGCCCTGGTCCTGTAGAATGAGCCCTGGCATTTTTACTGTGATTGCCTGTTTTTCTGTAAAATCACAGAAAAAGAGAGATGCTCGGGTCGAGCAGGCTGCTTCATGCGCGTTCACGCTCAGGCATCGCCCGTAGCATTTGCTATCCGTAGCTTTAGCAGCAGAGAGAGAGGCAGTGCCACTTTGTCGCTGTTCCTAACGCCTAGTGACAAAGCTAGCTACATTTCTGAGGACCCTTAGCTACTTTCTGTAGAACTTTCTTCTAGTTATTTCCTGCAAATTAGCAACAAAATAGCCATTTTCACTCCGAACCGTTCTTTGAACGTTGTTTCAGCTGTCATCAAGGATATAAATGTTACAGATACTGTGAATGCTACAAGAGTGTAGCTTGCCTAGTAAGACGTCAGACTCCCGTGCGGTAGACCCGGATTTGATTCTGGATGTGAACATACTTTATTTAGAGTTTATTTTTTACATTAATGCTATATTTTTTTACAGTACGATGCCCAAATTTTTATTTGAGACTCGCCGAACGGCATTGAATTCACAGATAAAAAAGATGTGGGTTCAACTTTCATTTTGGAACAATTTTTCAAGCAAGGGAAGGGAATGATCTGAGCATGCAGGAGGACTGGCCCATCATAAACCTTTGTCGGCTGTGCTGAAGAGAAAGGTACAGAACCACATTATTTAATTAATTAGTTAAAGTCAAAGTTAAAGTCCCATTAGTTGTCACACACACTGATGTGTGTGCGAAATTTGTTCTCCGCATTTGACCCATCCCCTGGGGGAGCGCTGAACTGCAGACACAGCCGCGCTCGGGAACCATTTGGCGCTGCATGTTCTCCTGTCCTCTGTCCCCCCCCCCACACACACACGCACATACACACACGCACACACACACACGCACGCACACACGCACGCACACACACACAGGACTTCCTCAGCTGTTATTTTCGTTAAGGAGTGTGCACGTACAGTGTGCTGTCCTCGCCCTGTGACTCTTAGTTTCACCTTGCTAGACAGCGAGATAACGATGCTCCAATAACCAGACTTGTTCTCCTTTTTTGTGCTGATTTATTGAAGAATGGCCTCTGACCATTGCCTTCTCTTTGACCATCGTAAAACTGAAAGTACAAAATACTGTATTAGCTAACTAACATTGTAAACTAGCTTATTACCCGCTTGCTGCAAGCTAACAAGATAAAACTTTCAAATGTACAAATTATCGTACCATTTTTACATAAACAAAAGATAATGATCATTTTATCGACACATACTTACAGACATATCTCGTCCAAGGCAGCAACATTTTAAGGTCTGTATCAGCTTAGAACAATAACATTACGACATCACCTTCCACCATCTTTGGTTTCTTCTTCACGTTCTCTTTTTTTTCCCAAAGTAACCAAACCTATATTACAAAGCAGCCACTAGAGGGAGCTCCAGGGCAGTTTACAACGATAACATCCAGTTTGAGTTATAAAAGGCAGAACATACAGCATGCCGCCTCGTGCACGAGCCTACTATTGAAGCTGCCGTTACACGTTTGGCCTGAGGGGGCAATCACGAGCATAAAAATTCAAAACTCCGTAAAGTCCCTTTAACTGTTTAGACAGAAATGATGATAACAAACCCTGACCCGGGAGACAACCCCACCTTGCCGGATGATTACTCACTTTGGGTAATGCTCAACTT